TCGTTTCAGAGACGTGTGTCGAAAGCCGCCTGTAAGTTATGTACATCTTTCTATCATTGTTTCTAATTCTCTCCTGACTCAAATGGTTTTTATTCTACTAGTCGATTAACATGTACATATAAGGCTAACCTGTTTTCAATATGCTCACTAACCTCTCTTTTTGAGATAAAAAAAAATAAAACAAAGTAAAATGAAACATAAGTTATGGGCTGTCGAACCGTTGAAGTTTCTTCCTCCTTCGGTGAATCTGTCCTGCTTAAATTTGCAGAATTTCTTAAATGTGGCAAACCGGACATTCGCTTGAAACGTTCCGTTGTTGGCGAACATGTCATCACAACTGGATGATCTTGCGGTGCAAGAAATCTACTCCCGTCAGGTATAATTTTATCTTGAGTCATTCGCAAACATTAAGACATCGAGAGCTCCGCAAGGTGCCGCACTAGTTTGCTGGAGAGATAGGTAGACGACAATAGAAACGAATCGTTTGGAATAAATGGCCACAAATATAATTTGACGAATTTAATTGAAACTCCGAAAACGCGGAGTGCGGAGTGCGGAGTCTAAAAAAAAATAAAAATAATAAAATAAAATAGAAATAAAATAAAAGAAATTTTAAAAAAAGTAGAAATATAAAAATTTAAAAGTGAATTAAACGAATAATTAAATACATAAATAAACTAGAAATAGAAATTTAAGAAATAAAAATAATAATTATTAGAACATTCACACCGCCTGAGGTGGACTGTTCATATCACGTATATTTCATTCAGTCCAAATGGTATATTCAAATTACGATTTTCACAGTTAGCAGTTCACTTTTAGGAAAAAAGAAAGGAAAGAACAGTCCAGTTTTGACCTTGACTAGAAAATGTGAGAAATTACAAGTTCGGTTTCCTTGGAAAGCAGTGTTGCCTCAAAACAAATTCAAGCTTTGCTTTCCGAAAATTAACTGCCTGTGTGAATTAACCCTTGAACCATTCAACAACTTGTCAACTGCGCGTCCTAAAGTTCTCGCAA